ACTTGCTGTTGCCATTTTCCTTTTGTCCCATCTACCTCTTACTCTAACTGTAGTTAAAACTAAATAATGATCCGATATATCAGATGCCCCTCTACAAATATGTACATCCTGAAGCCAACCCATCAACCTTTTATCCACCAATACATAATCTAACAAACTACTTTCATTATGTGTTATATCATACCTTGCATACTTATTTATCCTCTTTTTCATAAAATATGTATTACTTATTACCAAATCTCTTTCTACACATAGTTCAATTAAGGCTCCCCATTTTCATTTACCCCTGGCACCCCAAATTTACCTACTATTCCCTCCACAACATTTTTACCAACTTTAGCATTGAGATCCCCAACCACAAGTACTTTCTCACTTGGTTCAAAACTCCCTATGCACTCACTCAACATTTCCCAAAATCTCTATCTCTTCGACACTTCTCTCTTCTCCATATGCATAAATGCTTACTATAACCCACTTTTCATATCCAACCCTTATTTTACACCACATAATCCTTGAATTTATACATTTATATCCCCTCTTTTCCTGCCATAACCTATCCTTCAACATTATTGCTACTTCTTCTTTAGCTCTAACTCTATTTGAAACCCCTGGCCTAACCCCATTTATTTCTCTCCACTGAAACTCTCCCACCCCCTTCAGCTTTGTTACACTTAAAGCCAGGACATCCAGCTTCCTCTCATTCATAACATCCACAATCATCTCTTTCTTATCATTCGCACAACATCCACGCACATTCAAACCTCCCACTTTGACGGTTTTCTTCTTTTTCTTATTAGTAGGCTATATGGGAAAAGGGATTACTAGCCCATTGTTCCCAGCATTTAGTTGACTTTTACAACACACATGGCTTATGGAGGAAAGATTCTTATTCCACTTCCCCATGGATGTAAAAGGAAAAGCAATAAGAACAAGGACTGTTAAGATAAAATCAAAGAAAACTCAGATGAGTGTGTATACAATAAATGTGTACATGTATGTGTAGTGTGACCTAAGTGTAAGTAGAAGTAGCAAGACGTACCTGTAATCTTGCATGTTTATGAGACAGACAAAAGACACCAGCAATCCAACCTTCATGTAAAACAATTACAGGCTCTCGTTTTACACTCACTTGGCAGGGCGGTAGTACCTCCCTGGGTGGTTGCTGTCTACCAACCAAAAAAGTTAAAGTGACTTATTTCCAGCATGGGTGGTGGGGAAGACGGTATAGGTAGTTACAGTTGGGATGGATAATACACATGCGGCAGCAGGTGGTGGTGTATTGCATCATGTGGCACCAACGGCACCTCAGGCTGGTAGCCATGCCATTGACTCAGCACATCCACAACAAAGGCTGCCTTCAACCACCCACACACCACAACAAAGTGCACAACCACAACAACCTGTCAATATAAAGTACCCACCAGCAGATTGCATCTGGGATTGGCAATAGGGTGCCAATCAGTGCTGAGTGGATATACAGCGGAGCCCCGAGTTTCCGCCATAATTCGTTCCAGAAGGCTGTTCAAGTACTGTTACCGAACGAATTTGTTCCCATAAGGAATAATGTAAATTACATTAGTCCATTTCAGACCCCTAAAAATACACTTACAAAAGCACTTACAATAAAACACTTACATAATTGTTCAAGTTCGGAGGCGGCCGAAACTCGGGGTACCATTGTATATACATTATGCATTATATTGGTCTCACAGGCCACAAAAGTTCCTTGAATAAAATATTAGGAAAGAAAAGAAAAAGCAGAATAAAAGTAAAAATAATATTACCGAGTGAGCGGCAGTCGCTGATGTTGCCATCAACGGTTCACTTTCTGTCAGCGTCATGCCTCTATATATTGGCAAATACTGATTGCAATTTTTTTTTTTTTTACGTTTTAAACGCTCTTGAGATTTTGGCAAGATTTTTTTTTTTAAATATTTTTCGACACTGAGAGCAAGCCTGTGATCAGGGGTCTCAACAGTGAAAAGGTTAAAAAGAGGGATTTTGAGGTATTTCCTAGGATAGTTTTTTATGGTTTTAGTGGCTGTTTCTTGGTATCAACTGATAAAATGGAAGTTATAATAGTGAAATAAAGATGACTCATGGTTGGTTTCAGAAACAGCAGCAGCTTGAAATCGGGCTCAAAGTAGCAGAAATATATGGTTTTTATGATTTTCCTGGGGGATAATGCCCCCATTAACCCCCCAATTTGTTATATGGGTTTTTACTAGGTCTGGTTCAAGTACTAGAATGTCATAAACCATGGCCAATCATTCCTCATTATATTTTATTATCCAAGAAATAGGATAAAGCTTCAGTTTTTTTGCGACAATGAATTCAAAACTGAGGACAAGGGTAATACAGGAGAAACCTGAGGACATGATTAATGAACAGAAGAAGTGTAGCTTTAGTGTCTGAAAAATAGTCTACAGTGTTGATTTTGGAATCTGTTTTTAAACTAGATTTTTTTTAATTTTGTGTAAAATTGGATAAATTACTGAATACTGTGCACTTTATGGGATAGTTTTCATAGTTGAATAGGCAGTTTCTTGTGTTCAATTGACAGAACAGAAGGCATATTAGCAAAATAGCTAAAAATTTGGTTGAACTGAGCAATGGAATTAGCTTTAAATAATACTCAAAGTGGCCAAAATTGCTGATGTGTAAGTTGCAAAGATAACATTAAATTTTGTGTCCAAATTATTTAAACGTTTTTGCCCATATCTCTTCAAAATTGCTTTAATCTGCTTTATACTACTACATTCACAAGAAAAGAGCAGCACGTTTTGAATGAAATTCTATGTCATGATTTCAATTTAGTAGTTAAGTGCCAGGTAAAAAACAATGAGGAAAAACAAAACAAAATGTGAATAATCAAAGCTATTCGCAAAATAGACTTCAGTAAAAAAAAAAATTATGCAGCAATATAAACTCATGGGCTACAAAGAATGAAAATTCCAGTTTGATGGCACTTTAAATATATGCTGTAACAGATCAACCAGGCTGTGATGGATATGTGGCCCAGCACACCACAAGCAGCAACAGCCTGACTGACCAGTCAAGCACCAGATGAGCCTAGCCTATGGCCGGACTCTGGAGTATAAAAACTCAGAACTCATTAAAGGTATGTTTGCTCTACATTCCCAATGTCTTTCCACTCAATACAACTTCACTATTGCTGTATTTGCCTTTATTTTAATATTTGTGCATCTGTGAATCCTTACGTACTTATTTTATGGTATATTCCCATTTGTACATACATGTCTGCTGAAACACTTTAAACCTTTCCGCACATTCCTGCTTCTTAATGTGATAAACTAGAAAAGATATGTAAGCGTAATTCTTGAGCAAGTGCTTCCTGTGCTTCTCCAAATGCCTTAACACTAGAAGGCAATGTTTTTCTTAGGCATTAGCTGCCAATTATGTTCTCTGGTGGCTTTTCTTCCCATTTCAAACAGCCTGTCCCTGGTCACTATCTAGCCTCCTGAGTATTTCATATACCATGATCATATTTTTCCTAGATACTTCAGTCTTACAAGAGAAGAGAGAAAAAAAAGTCCAAAACATTTACCAGTAATAAGCTTCCAATTCCTCCCTAGGTAGTTATTGTCAACCAATGTATCACCTAGTACATAACAAATATGGCTCTTCAAGGCATGCTCCTAAGCAACTTCTTCAGTATGTTTTACAATGCATGCAGTCAGTTCAAATCTTAGTTGGCCTTAGAAGGAAAGCTGCTAATTCTTATCATACCTTATATGTTAGTGATTTGTGGCTCACAAGGATTTTTAAAACATGCAACATTCCAATACCTTATTATGTTTTAAAATTCATGCTCTTACCTAACAGATTTTAACCCCTTGACTGTCGCAACCCCCAATCCTGGTGTCGCAAAATTTCAAAAAACAAAAAAATTATTTTTTCTTATGAAATGATAGAGAATCTTTTCCAGATTGTAATGACACCAAAATAACGAAATTTGATGGAAAACTGATGGAATTACGCTCTCGCGAAGTTAGCGACCTTGGCGATATTTACAAATCGGCGATTTCGCCCACTTTGAGCCCTATTTTCGGCTAATTTCATTGTTCCAGTCGACCAAACTCATAGCTATTTCTTTAGAACTCCATTTTTTCTATCGATTGAGTACAAGAAACTGCCCATTTACCAATTTCAATTACCCAATAACGTGGTAAGAAATTTGCAATTTGGCCAATTTCACGAAAATTAAAAAATATGACAATTTCAAAATAAGGTCCAGAATGAACAATGCAGACACTCCTGGCTCTAAAATAACATTTTCTTTGTTCATCAGTCATGTCTCCAGGCCCCTCTGATATTACTCTTGCTTTCTATTTCGAATTTTTATTCAAACAAAAAATAGAAGATTTACTATTATGCAGACTACTCCAATACTGTAATAATTGTATAAATAACATGAACCAAATCATGACTGCATATTAGAATGGCTAGTTGGACATTTATTGGACAATGATGCCATTTGTTTACTTTTGAACATTGGCAAAAATCAAACATTTCCCCTACTTTGAGCTCCATTTCCAGGTTCTTTTTATAGTAAAATCAATCAAAATCATCTCTTTTTTTTATAATATTTTTTCCATTCTATCAAACGAGACCAAGAAAACGAGAATACAACCATAAATACTATACGGAAATAGACCCACAAAGTCGGCATTTTAATTAAAAAAAACGGTCGGAGTTTTTTTTTCTCATTATGCACTGCGTGCTCCAAGATTTTTTTTTATGTGGTGCACACTGACCACACAGACCCATTCACTCACATGTGGGCCTACCAGCTTTCTCCTTCTTGATTTGAAGCCGCTAGAATTTTTGAGTATATATACGTCAAACACGGTACCTCGTAAGACGTATATATATGGCCGCGACAGTCAAAGGGTTAAATAGTGTGAAGACAAATGATGTGTTTCTATGGCTTATTTTATTATAAAAATAATTACAGATAATGTGTCCACTAACCATACCTGCTTGCTCTAGGAGTTGAGTCCAGTTTTCTTTTTCTTGTTGCAAAGCTAAAGTGAAGTGTCCTGAGACCTGGCCATTTTCCCTATTCTTTATCTTTGAAATTCCACCTTCCATAGCAGATCCCCATGTGGAACTCTGTGGCTTTTCTTGATTACTCACTGGCATAGCACTACTATTACAGATCTTGTTTTCTTGACAATGGCTGTTGTCCAGTGGGTCAAATGACTGGGACTGGGTACTGAATTGGTCTTGGATTTCCAAAACTAAAGAAATTTCACTTTTAACAGATGAATCTGTAATTTCTTTCCTAACAACTGTTACATTTTTACAGCTCTCTATTGAAGATACAGAATCCTGATTTGGTTCACTTGGCAATAAGTCATTCTTTTTATTAATTTGTACATTCTGGCAAGTACTCTGGCTGTCAATGAACATTTGAAGAGGTGAAGTACTGCAAGATCCTTCCTTCTCTTCACCCACTCTATACATCTCTCTACTCTCTGCTTGTGCAAACTGCAATTTCCTCTCCAAAGAACTATTCTGGTCAATTATTAACTGAATCTTTTCTTCATGCTGCTCAAGGATATTGGTTAATTCTTGGTTCTCTCTTGTTAACTTTTTCAAACTAGACTCGCATTCATATTTGTCAGATGACTTAGCTGAGGTCAATTTCTCATCAATATTTTGTATAATTTTACCATATTTGTCAATCGCTTTCATTAAGCTAGACTCCAGGTTAGTTTCGGATGACAGTGCTGAGGATTTTAAATCATTAAGACCATGAACTATGGCTTCATTTTGTTTCAGCAACTCACTGATTTGTAGAATTAACTTTGTATCAACTCTTGTGTCCTGATTATAAGTTAGATCAGCACTGTCAATTTGGACACACGCTGTATTTTTATCGAGCAATACAGTACAATGGTTTTTAGCATTTGGAGATATATTATCAGGATTAACAAAAGGATAATCTGTAAACATAGCCAGATGGTGATCAGCTTTACTAGCTGACACAGTCTCATCAAACATTTTGTTTGCTATAGACATTCTTGGACTATTGCTATAGTTTGTAGCACTGCCAGCTTCATTCACATCCAGAGAGCTTTCAGAATGAGTACACAATTTTTGGTCTGTTTCAGCTGTGATCCTGTCTGAGTCAGTTTTAACAGTGTCAGTAATAAAAGGAGTCATATCTGTAATTTTCATAGTTGTACTCCCTCTTGCACATGCATCCATCAATTCACTGCTTGCAGTATCAGATACACCAATTGAATTTGCAATGCCGTCATATTTCCTTGAAGTTACACTATCAATGACACCTGTAGCTGCCTCAGCCTGAGTATCATCATTGCATATACTTCTGACAGTAACAGCTAATATACTCTCACTATCATTGTCATTAATTATAAGGTCAGCATGGTGGCAACCTAGCTTTGACTGGCAGCTTTTATCCTCTGTCTCTATTTTTGATTGAACTGTCACTTCATTTAGTTTCTCAGTCAAAGTTTGGTTTTGTTCAGAAAGAAGTCGAATTCTTGCTTCCAGTCTTGCACTTTCCAAATCTCTCTCAGAAACTTCCTCACTAAGTTTGTAGTTCAACTTTTCTTTGTCCTCCATAAGCTTTTTAATTTTCATCTGAAGTTTTTCCATTTCCTTGGAGCTGTCCATTTCATCATTGCAATCATCATCCTTTAAGTCAGTTTGTGTCTCCTTAGCCTCTCTCTTAGTTTCTTCTCGTGTCAGATTTACCTCAAGTTGTTTTTGCCGCTGTTCATTTATTTTTTTTTCTTCTTCTATTAACTTTTGGAGTTTCAAATTTTCCTGAGCTAACTGTTCAACTTCATCTTTCAGGCTACTAGTCAAACCAACTTCAAACTGGTACTGAGTCCCAGTATCACTCAATACTTCTTCAACCTCTACCAGAGACTGATCTGTGGCATGACTAAATGCTTTCTCTTGTTTATGGGTTTTCTGTGATTCAGCTACTGTTATAGTAGGGATTTGGTTTGCTGAATTACTAGATGAATGGGAAACACTAATCTGAGTAAGGTTATTAATACTATCTGCAGTATTTACTTGATTGGATTTCACTGTTTTAATATTTAATGCATTTTCCTCTGGTTCATCAATATTTTCAGCAATCAAAAATGATACACTTTTATTTATTTCTTTGGTCTCACCTCCAGTATCTGCATTTTCATCTTCATTTAAAGATACTTTCAGTGCTTGATTTTCTTCGCTCAACAATCGAATTTTTGATTCAAGGGCTAATTTTTCTTGGTCTACTTTCAAAATTGATTCACATGTCATCCCTTGAAGAAATTTATGCAACTGATGATTCTCCCTTACCAATTCCTGAATTGTTGCATTAATGGAATTAATTTCACTACTTAGACCACTGTCTCCCAAACCAGGTAAGTCAGCCTCATCATTTTTAAGCTCTGTTATTTTCTCCTCATTTTCAGTACTGTCCATAGTGAGACTGGGAAACTCATCTTGATCCTCATTAATCATACTGAGATACGTATCACACACAGATGTTCCTGACTTTCTCTGAAAATGTGGCTTCTCTTCATAACTTTTACTTCTGGTTTTATATTTCTTAATTTTTCCTTTTAGTTTTCTGTTGTCAACTTCTTCCAGGCTATGACTTCTAATTAGTCGGAGATGCTTTTCCTTAGAACTTTCCAGCTTCTGCAATTCTAGTTCCCTCTGTGCTGCACGGTGTGCAATAAGTGACTGTAGTCTCGAATCCAAAGCTTGTTTTCTAATCACTATATTATCTATATCTTTCCTTAGTGATCTGGTTTCTTTTGTCCAAGGATGAGTAATGTCTTGACTCTGAAGGCTATCCAGTTTCTCACTGTGATGTCCAGTATAGCAATAAAATGAGTCTGTATTAGTGGTTTCTTTTACAAAGGGTTTGTAACACTCAGAAGTATCACTCAAAATTAAATGAATGTCGCTATCATACGGACTTTTTTCAGTATTTACTTCACTAGTAGAACAATGTGCTATATAATCAGGGTAAGTACTTGTTGTAGGCTCATATTGAACCCCTAGTAGCTCAACATTTGTGTAAGTAGGATCATGGTGCAAGACACCATTTATATATGAAGCAGAGCTTCTACTAACTGTATCTGAATGGGATGTTGATACCTCAACAATATTACACTCTTTTTCTGCTGAATCATGCCTATTATTGGATTTGTTTACCAGTCCTTCATTATTATTGCTGCTTCCTTGCCAAAGGGATGGAGGCACACTTTGCGAATGTAATGGTAGATGGCTATCATAGGCATGTTTTTCTTGTTCAGTCTTCATCATATTATGAATGTGTGAGTAGGACTGACTAGCATCATTATCCATGATCTTTATTTCTGGGAAGTTTGAGGTTTGTTGTAAATGCCCGTGGTACGTAGAGCCCAAACTATGATGTGTTGAAACTGCTCCTGGAGACTGGTGTGTGGAAGCCTGCAAAATATAAGTTTCTGGTAAGAAGCATAATAAACTTTTATTCACCAGTGAACAAGGTAATAATTCTTATTATAGTACAGTATTAATATTTTGGAGGGAGACTGCAAAATGAAAACCTTGACAATGCATGCAAATATTAGTAAGTGTGCACCTGAGTGCACGTGCACGCACGCACGCACACACGCATGCACATGCACACGCACGCACATGCACACGCACACGCAAGAACACACACACACACACACACACACACGACTCATTATAACACATTCTGAAAGCATATTTTCAACATAACATACTTTATATTTTGAAACTCTCAATTTAGAGTACTAACCACAGCATGACCTTGTCTTAACAAGGATAAGCCTGGGAAAAAATATGAGAAACTTCAATGCCATGCTTCCCCAGGCATTATATGCATCCCTAACACTATATGCACATGGTGTACCCTTACATACATAGAGGCTTAAACTACAGATACACCACCAATATTCTGGCACCCTTAGTTCCAAAGCCTTGCCAGAATACTGATTTTTGCCGACCAACAGAGGTCATGCCATAATAATTCAACAACACACCTCTGACCTGGTAATTATACACCTTTTCTTTAATGCAATTATACTGTGTGTATGCTCATTCTAAGATGTATAGAGAGCTCATTTGTTTGGTAAAGATTGGTCACTAATTATATAAGTATTATTTATGTTTTAGTTAAGGCTGCATTAAAAAAAATTTTCCTCTTAGTTTTTAACCAAGTACATTTATACTTTGTGTATAATCACTGATCACTCTATGTACATTCATTCATTCATTAGGGATTTGCCGGTACTTCTGGCTCAGGTCTTCTCCAGATGGTGACCCGGCGTCTATGTACATAAAAAGAGGACATATCTATTTGGTGAAGACTGGTCAAGAACCAAAAATTTAATAAGTAGTTGTAAACCACACATCATAAGAAGCACATCCTCTCAGCACAGTGTCTGGCCATACACTTGAGTGGTGGGGCCAAGTGAGTTAACTGGCCACACACCAGCCACCACCCTTCAACACTCATCACCTTGTGATGAAAAGGAATATTAGTGTTGCTAGAGGTGCTAAAAAGAGGAATAAGAGAGAAAGCCTGAGTGATTTAACCCCTTCAGGGTTGGAGGCCCAAATCTGAAGTGGTGCCCCAGTGTCCAAGAATTTTCAAAAAAAAAAAAAATTTGTTATTTTTTCTTATGAAATGGTAGAGAATCTTTTTGTGAAGGTAATAAAACAAAAAGTACGCAATTTGATGGAAAATTGACGAAATTATGCTCTCGCGAATTTTGATGTGTCAGCGATATTTACGAATCGGCTATTTTGCCGACTTTGACTCCCATTTTAGGCCAATTACATTATTCCAATCAACCCAATTCTTAGCTATTTCACTAGTATTACTTCTACTCTATCGATTGAGCACAAGAAATCGCGAAGTCAACTGTTTCAACTACAAATTAAAGTGATCAGAAATTGGTAATTTGGCCAATTTAACACAAAGTTCAAAATATTCCAATTTCAAAATAGGGTCCAGAATAAACAATGTAGGTATTCCTGGAACTAAACTAACATTTCCTCTGTTCATTAGTTACGCTTTGAGGCTTTACAAATAAATTCCATTTTGATTTTTTATTCACATAATGAATTTTTATTCACACCAAAAAATAGAAGATTTACTGTTATGCAATACTGTAATAATTGTATAAATATCATCACCATATTTATGAATGCATATTAGACCCACCAGCTGGCATGTATTAGACGTGTGAGGTCGTTTGTTTACTCTTGAATATCGGCAAAAATTTAACATTTCTGCTACTTTGAGCTCAGTTTCAAGCCATTTCCAGTGCTAAAACCAATCAAAATCATCTCTGTTTCTGTAATATCTCTTCCATTCTATCAAATGAGACCAAGAAATCGCAAATACAACTATAAAAAACATACAAAAAAACACTGCAAAGTTGCTGTTTTAATCGAAAAATCATGATTTCAGTTTTTTTCTCTCATTATACACAGTGTACTGCAGGATCTGTTTTATGTGGTGCACACATACCACATAGATGTATTCTCTCATATCTAGGCCCAAATGTACCACTCACAGTTTATCAGAGTGAGCTGAGCTCATGACGTAGATCTACGGTTTGGACCCTGAACGTAAAGCCGTAGATCTACGGGACGGACCCTGAAAGGGTTAAAAGATAAATAAGAAAACTGTGGGGTGAAATCATAAGAGTCCATGACATTGTATAAACTATGCCCATTATCTCTGGAAGGAGCATGTCCTATTTTCTATGGAAGCAATGAATGGGAACTGCATCAAGCACACACCTTCCTGAAGCTTTACTTAAGTAAGTTCATTTAACCCTTTGACTGTTTTGGTCGTATATATACATCTTACGAGGTACCGTGTTTGACGTATATATACTCATAAATTCTTGCTTCTTCAAATCAAGCAGGAGAAAGCTGGTAGGCCCACATGCGAGAGAATGGGTCTGTGTGGTCAGTGTGCACCATATAAAAAAAATCCTGGAGCATGCAGTGCACAATGAGAAAAAAAAAACTCCGACTTTTTTTTTATTAATTAAAATGCCGACTTTGTGGTCTATTTTCGTATAGTATTTATGGTTGTATTCTCATTTTCTTGGTCTCATTTGATAGAATGGAAAACATATTATAGAAATAGAGGTGATGTTGATTAGTTTTTACCATAAAAAGAGCCTGGAAATGGAGCTCAAAGTAGAAGAAATGTTTGATTTTTGCCGATGTTCAAAGGTAAACAAATGATGTCATTTTCCAATAAATGTCCAAGTAGCCATTCTAATATGAAGTCATGAATGGGTTGACAGTATTTATACAATTATTACAATATTGCAGTAGTCTGCATAACAGTAAATCTTCTATTTTTTGTTTGAATAAAAATTCAAAACAGAAAGCAAGAGTTATATCAGAGGGGCCTGGAGACATGACTGATGAACAAAGAAAATGTCACTTTAGATCCAGGAATGTCTGCATTGTTCATTCTGGACCTTATTTTGAAATTGTCATTTTTTTAATTTTCGTGAAATTGGCCAAATTGCAAATTTCTGACCACATTATTGAGTAGTTGAAATCACTAAATGGGAAGTTTCTTGTACTCAATCGATAGAAAAAATGGAGTTCTAAAGAAATAGCTATGAGTTTGGTCGACTGGAACAATGGAATTAGCCGAAAATAGGGCTCAAAGTGGGCGAAATTGCCGATTTGTAAATATCGCCGAGGTTCCTATCTTCGCGAGAGCGTAATTCCGTCAGTTTTCCATCAAATTTATTTTTTTTGGCGTCATTACAATCGGGAAAAGATTCTCTATCATTTCATAAGAAAAAATAATTTTTTTTTTAAATTTTGCGACACCAGGAGACACCTCAGGATTGGGGGTTCTGACAGTCAAGGGGTTAATAAGTTGTTAATTTTGTGCCCTCTATTAATTTTGTGTAGACTAAGAGAGGTGTCTGATCACCCACTACCAGAAATTTTGTCACACCCGTGGGATTATAATGCATATTTCTATATCTAGTTCTGCCTTTTATATTAAAACAAAAAATTATATTTACTTTACTTCCACAAAAATTATATTTCTTATTTGTAAACTTGTAGTTTAAACAAAGAATAGATTGTATTTATAAATGAAATGGTATACAGCCTCCTCACTTAACAACAGAGTTCTATTCCTAAGACCACGTCGGTAAGCAAATTTGTCGAGAAGCAAGGAGCATACTATAACAGTAGCGGGTTTGTGTTAACCATCTCTGATAATGTTTTAATGTCACCTTTGCACCATTTATAACATTTTTAGTATATTTTTAAGCGTTTATACAGTAATGTACTGTATATTGTAATAAACAGAATAGAGGAAATTAGCTCTAATATACATTACAGTGGACCCTCAACCAGTGATATTAATCCGTTCCTGAGAGCTCATCGTTAATCAAAATAATCGTTAGTCAAGTTAATTTTCCCCATAAGAAATAATGGAAATCAAATTAATCCGTGCAAGACACCCCAAAGAATTGAAAAAAAAAAATTTTACCACATGAAATATTAATTTTAATACACACAAACTGAAGAAGACATGCACAGTTACATGACACTTACCTCTATTGAAGATCTGGTGATGATTGATGGGATGGGAGGAGGGGAGACCATTGATCTTGTTAGTGTTTAGAAGGGGAATCCCCTTCCATTAGCACTTGAGGTAGCAAGTCTTTTTCTGGGGTTACTTCCCTTGTTCTTTTAATGCCACTAGGACCAGCTTCAGAGTCACTGGACTTCTGTCGCACAACATATCTGTCCATAGAGGCCTGTACCTCTCGTTCCTTTATCCTAAAGTGTTTCACAACATTGTCAGTGTAATAGTCACCAGCACGGCTTGCAATAGCTGTGTGAGGGTGATTTTCATCAAAAAAGGTTTGCACTTTAAGCCACATTGCACACATTTCCTTAATCTTTGAAGTAGGCAACTTCTTCAATTTCTCTCTCCCCTCCTCCGAAGCAGTTTCCTCAGGTGTGGTTTCTTACTGTTGAAGTTGATCTAGCAGCTCATCAGTGGTTTGTTCTTCATTGTCCTCCTCCACCAACTCTTCCACATCCTCCCCACTAACCTCACCAACATGAGCACTAGTTCCAGGCATTTTTCCCTGTTCACCTGGGTATTAGTCAACTGTTGTGGGTAGCATCCTGGGGGACAAGATTAAGGACCCCCAATGGAAATAAGTTAGACAGTCCTCGATGATGCACTGACTTTCTTGGGTTATCCTGGGTGGCTAACCCTCCGGGGTTAATCGTTTCTCGGTAATTGTTTCACGTTAAGCCACACCAACAACACTCTCTCCACATCTTCGAGTAATACAGCTGATGGTGGTGCAGCAACAACAACAGCTGACTGTGGTGCAGCAGCAGCTGCACCTTTGGCAAGAACAGCTTCCTTGATTGCCGTTTTC